CTGTCCCTGCATACAGAAATGGCTCGATCAAGCACACGGACGGTGGACGGCAGGAGGCAGGTTTCCCACTGCTGGAGCTGAGGGGAGGCACCTGGCGAGAGAGCAGTTCAGAGGGTCACATAGACACGTACAAGCCCCTGCGTGTCGGCTGACAGGGCCGAGAAGCCACAGTAGCCCGCAGCCACGAGCCCACCCTGTACCCACATCTTGGTCCCTAGCCCAGGCTCCAAATAAAGGAAACAGGGCTCCTCAGAGAAGCGGCGACTCTTGAGTGAGTCCCGGGCATCTCGTAGAGGCAGAGAGGATGGACGTGCTCGTGACTCATGGCGCCAGGGCCAAGGGCCCCAGGAACCACGGAAGGAGCCCCCGATGCCCAGAGCTGAACGAGGCAAGCAGGAAGAGGAAGCAGCATCAGATGGTGACCCACACTGACGTGAACGATGAATGAATCAGCGGGAGGGGGGACGGACCCCCAGTGCGTGTGTGTGTGCAGGTGGCAGAGGCCCTCTGCCTCCCCCAAGGGTGGGCTGCACAGGGGGCTACCAAGGAGCTCTGGCTTGGTCCCTCTTCAGTAGCACAATCCCGCATAATGACAGGATGTTAACCGTGGCTGGCGGCTCTGCAGGTCCAAGGCTGAGGGCCCACGTCTGCTGACAGCAGAGTGCTGGGAGGCGCAGGGCATCGGGGAGTGAGAGGGGGCGCACGTATGTGTCTGGACCCTCTGCCCTCTCCGGCTCTTCCTGTAGAGCTGCCAGGATGTGGGGACCTTATTCAGGCCTACTGGCTCCCAAGCCTCTCCCCTCTCCACCCTCCTAACGCCTCACAATGGGAATTCTTGCTCTTTCTCATTAAAAAACAAAAACAACAAAAACAAAAAACAACACACACACACACACACACACACAAAACCTGTATTTATTTGAAAGGCAGAATAACGGGGTGGGGAGGGGGAGACACGGAGAGAGAGGTCTTCCATCTGCTGCTTCACTCCCCGAATGGCCTCAATGGCCAGGCCAAAGCCAGGAGCCCGGAACCCATCCATACCTCCCACGTGGGTGCAGGGGCCCAAGTACTCGGTCACCTTCCACGGCGTTCTCAGGTCCTTAGCAGGGAGCTGGATCAGCCGTGGAGGCAGGACCTGATCTCAGGCCCTTCAACAGGGATGCGGGCACAACCCCGCCCCTGGGGATTAATTCTCAGCACGTGAGAAGTAACACACTCAAGCCACAGCCACATTGCAGGGAGCCCAGTGCCAAACTGGGGTGGGACAAGGGCCCCTACACAGTGGGGAAACAGCTGGGGAGGAAGCTCAGTGCCCCCGGCTTCCAACCAAACCCTGCGCCCGACTGTGATCATGAAAAAAGTCCCAGCAACTCCCAGGAGAGTGACACGCCGCCAAACAGCTGACCCGTGTGCCTCAGACAAGGGAAGCCACAGCCCCGAGGGGACCTGCTGGGCACAGGGAAGCACCCTGGCTGCTGAATGGGGCAGCAGTCCCTCCCCGTGGGCGGTGCCGGGTGTGGGGCCCTGACCCCGAATCAAGTGTGCAGTTTGGTGAAGGTCTCGGCCGCGACAAAAGTGCATGTTGGTGGGGCCAGTGGGCAGACCAGGTGAGGGGCGTGTGGGCACCCCTGACTGGGTGACTCTTCCCCAAAGGAAAGACTTACTAAGGAAACACAAGTATCCCACAGCGGTACAGACCAGGCACACGGCGAGTGCTCACACATCCCGATGGTCACTGTTTTCCACCATCTCCCAATCATGGCAATGATCTGCACACCATTCAACACTCAGGACAGGACACGCCTGGGCCATGCACTGATCATTTCCAGACAACTGCAAGATGAGTGACACGGAGGGAGCCCTCTGTCGTCCGGCTGCCACTGCGTTCTGGATTGTTCCGCCACAGACGGGCGCACAGGGGATGCTGACCTACATCTGTCACTGGCTCAGGGTCAGCACGCTGTGAAGGGTCGTCCACATCAGTCCCCAGCCCTCCACAGGGTCCTCCTGCGAGGCCGCGACCCCTGACTCACTGGCTTGCACCCACAAATGCTGTCTCCAATCCCCCCTACTCAAATAATACCCCAGTAACCATCCTCCCTTCCTGGCCACAGAGCTGTGACGTCATCTGTCCCCCTACCATTCTGAGAACTGAGAATTCAGGACCATGTCCCTCTCCCGCCTTCACCTCTGGGGACATCTCTCCCTGAACAGGTGAATGTGGACGGCCATTGTGACATCACGGACGTGGGGGTGGGGGTGGGATGGGACGCACTTCAGGGGACAGGACAGGGTGCCCCCTGGAGACTGGCGTGTACGAGTGTCAGAGCCCACGGCACCAGGCCGGGCGGGGGAAATGCCAGTGGAAGAACTTTATCACACACAACGTCTACTCACCACACACTCATTCAATAAGCACCTGTGTTCCCGACAGTGTCAGCATTGTTGCAGTGGGCATGTGGCAGCCCCGATCCCAAGGAACCCCCATTCCACGTTACACCAGCAACAAACCATCAGGGGCCAGGGCTGCCGCCCACAGGGCAGTGCCCCCCCTTCCTGAACTCCAGCAGGGCCCCCCGGATGCCACTGACTCTGCTCCCTCAAAGGCCAAGGCGGCTGCCTTTGGCCCCAGGCTTTTTCCAGACCGCCCTCCTCTCCCATGTCAGCTCCTGTGTCCCCTCACACTGGGGTCTCCTCACAGCCCCTCCTCCCTACCCTGCACTACACATCAGGGGGAATGTTGAGCCAGGGCCTGGGGACCAGTGAGGAGCGGAGTGTGCCACGCGTGGGCAGAGGCAAGAGCAGGGGCCTCCACTGCCCCGCTCTGTGCCGTGGCTGGAGGTGGGCGTTTATGACCAAGCAGGCAGAGCCGAATGGGCCGGGGCCCCAGCTCCCCCCCCAGCAGAGCACCTGCCGTGGGCAGATGCTGGCTCCTTCTTAGCACTCAGCTCGCAGCTCAAGTGTCACCCCCAAGCACCCTACACAGCAGCAGACCCCACGCGTGCTTGTCCTCAGTGTCCAAGTCTCCTGTTCATTTATTTGCTGATTTGGCTTTGTGAGCTAGGAGGTGAGCTCCTTATGGGCAGCTACTCTCATTTCCCACTCGTGCTGTGTCCCCAGTGCCCAGAGCAGTGCCTGGCACACAGCAGGTACTCAATAAGACCCCGAATGAATCAACGATCCGGGCTTCTGGCTCAAATGCCTGGGCTGTCACCCAGAGCATCAATCTCTGCCACGTGGGGCCTCTCGGAGACCACGCTGGTGACGTTTAAAAGCATTCAGTGCCACAGGGTTGGGGATGGCATTTCAAGTTGGCCCAAGTGTGAGCCACTGAGTGAGAAGTGCCCGCTCGCCTGCGACCTGCCAACACAGCCCTCCTGGCAACTCCGGGCCTTTACCTCCAATCCACTTCCCTGCTGCCCTGGGTTGGGGGCTGGGCTGCAGAGCACTGGCTGCGCCCCTGCCCCCTGCGCAGCGTGCTGTCCCGGGCAGATGACCAGGGAAGAGGCTGGGTGTGGTGTTCAGGAGAGCTCTTGCAAGACGCCCCTCCGGCCCCTGCCGCCTGCCTGGTGGGTGGATGTGGCTGTTTCCAGCAGGGCAAGGGTGGCCCTCGGTGTGCCTTTGTTCAAGCTGGAGTGGTGGCATTAGCAAACAGGCCGCTCCCTCTGGGTGCTGCCCAGCTGGGGCAAGCTGACCGGGGGCTGGGTTTCCACCCCGACTCAAGCCTGTGGCTGGGAGCCTTGAGCAGTTCACAGACTGTACAACTGTTCTTGGCAGGTCTGAACTTGGACCGTGAGGCAACTTTGAGGCTAGAAAGTAGTTGCTGAAGGCAGAGCTGAAGACGCCTGGCCCCTGATGAGGAGGAGCCCTCACACCAGCCCAGCGCGGCCTTCCTCGCTTTTCCTTTTTCTTTTGAATAAGTTTAATAATTTATTTGGAAGCAGCTACAAAATCTCAGGAAAGCTACAGGAACTGCACAAAGCAGCCCCTGCCTCAGCCTGGCAGGGGTTAAGGGCCTGCCCAACTCCTCCCCTCCTCTCCCCCTCTGCAGGCGATTTTTCAGAATGGCGACAGAGTAGCTGGCTAACTGGCCACGCCCCTCATACTCCAGTGTGCACCCCCAAAGGAAGACACACTGACCAGAGCCTGGTCCCCTCTGCTCCATGGGAGTCACCCTCTGGGATTCTCTGTGAAGTGGCCAGAACTGATCTAACCGCTACCCTCTCCACCCCTGGGAAAGATCAGAGCCCAGCCCGATCCTGCCGCACGACCCACTGCTCTCTGTTCCAGTTGCGAGGCCCGCCCTCAGTGCCCCTCACTGGCACCCCTCCTGGCCTCACAGCTTTTCCTTTGTTGCAGTTGAGGTGAAAAAATTCGCCCTGTCCACCTGGGGCAGCCAGTGCATTCACAGTGCCGTGTCATGGCCTCTGCCCAGGCCCGAGAAGGAGCACGCCCCCTCGACGGCCTCCCTGGACCCCACCCCAGGCGCCTGACAGAAAGGCACGGCCCAGAACACTCCTCAGACGCTCTTCCCCGCTCCAAGGCCACATCCTACAGGCTCCCTTTGCCTCACGGCCCCAGGGGGCTTTTGCTGGCGCCCCGCCAGGGGTCCAGGTCCCTCATATTTGTCCTCAACACCTTGCACAAGGACAGTGGTCGAGTGTGGTCAGGCTTTCTTTAGCTAGATTGGGGTATGGGGTACACCTCGTGTACCAGTGTACCCTGCACCCAGCCCAGCATGTGGATTGGGGTACGGGGTACACCTCGTGTACCAGTGTACCCTGGGCCCAGTCCAGCATGTGGATCAGGGTACAGGGTACACCTTGTGTACCAGTGTACCCTGGGCCCAGCCCAGCATGTGGATCGGGGTACGGGGTATACCTCGTGTACCAGTGTACCCTGTGCCCAGCCCAGCATGTGGATCAGAGTACGGGGTACACCTTGTGTACCAGTGTACCCTGGGCTCAGCCCAGCATGTGGATTGGGGTACAGGTTACACCTCGTGTACCAGTGTACCCTGGGGCCCAACCCAGCATGTGGATTGGGGTACGGGGTACACCTCGTGTACCAGTGTACCCTGCGCCCAGCCCAGCATGTGGCTCACGGTAGGTGCTCAGTGATGTTTTAATTGAAGGACTCCACGAATGGATGGATGAACGAGTGAGCGAGTGACTGCCCCCACAGCAACCTCACGCTGGGCCCCTTGACTGTGACACGGGCGGGCGGCCCTGGGCACGAGGCCCCGCCCGCCCCACACATGCCCATATATGGACGTGAGGCAGGCACTCAGGCCCTTGTCTGTGAGGTCTCAGGCCTCTCTGACCTCACAGTGCCCAGGGGGGCCCCCGTGTCTATAAGAGGCCCAGGCCTGGGCCCCTGGCTCACAGCCCACCAAGATCCACCTGCTCACAGGTTGGCTGGCTCAACCAGGGTTGTGCCCCGAGCTCTGAGCCAAGTCTCGGCCAAGTCCATCCGGCACCATGGTCAGATACAGATGCTGCCGCAGCCAGAGCCGGAGCAGATGCCGCCGCCGGAGACGGAGATGCCGCAGACGCAGGAGGCGGTGCTGCCAGAGGCGAAGAGTCAGGAGTAAAAGAGGCCCCAGCCCGGGACTGGGTGGGAGTGCTTGGTGGGGCGGGAGGAGTGACCTCCCCCTAAATGCTTTTCTTGCCCCCCGCAGAGTGCTGTCGCCGCACATACACCCTCAGGTGTAGACGATACTAAACGCACAGAACAGCAGACCCACCAGACTCCTGCCTGAGAATTCTACCAGACTTCAAGACCCTCTCGTCACACGCCATCTTCAAGACTTCAAGACCCGCTCTTGACAATGCCATCGTCCCATGACACACAGGAGCCTGCTAAGGAACAATGCCGCCTGTCAATAAATGTTGAGATCATCCCAATCACGCCTCTGTGTCTTTGAGGGACTCGGGCCGGGGAGCTGGGGGTGTGCGGCGGAGCCCCCGGGAGGGCCAGGTGGGACAGGGATGGTGTCGCCCAGGGTTTTGTTCCCAACTTAAAACCCATTCCCAAGAAAAGCCTGCCCTCAGCCTCGGGCGATCTCTCTCAGGCGGGGGCCTGTGACCACCCGAAGGCCGGCTGTGTATCTCACCCCACTGCTCAGGGCTCAGCGGCCTGAGCTGGGCACCAGTGGAGGCATTCACACCACAGCAACTCCCGGCAAATGCACAGAGGGTTTCTCCCAGCCCAGAGGGGCGCGGCTTCCTGAGCAGTTACCCATTCACTGACCCCATTCCTGCCTGCACACCACTGCCCACCATACCGTGTCACAGCTGTACTCCAGCCCAACGCTGGAGTCCCTGCTCAAGGGCCTCCTTATTTGTAAGCAGACGATTAAACCAGTTATCAGAAAATCAAGATCAAAATGTTTATTCCTCAGGGCCAGTGCTGTGGTGCGGTGGGTTAAAGCCCTGGCCTGCCAGGTCAGCATCCCATATGGGCGCCAGTTTGAGTCCCGGCTGCTCCACTTCTGACCAGTTCCCTGCTAACGCACCTGGAAAGCAGCAGAGGATGGCTTACGTCCTTGGGTCCCTACACCCAAGTGGGAGACCTGGAAGAAGCTCCTAGCCCCTGGCTTCAGATTGGCCCAGCTCCAGCTGTTGCGGCCATTTGGGAAGTGAACCAGCAGATGGAAGACCTTTCTCTCTGTGTCTACATCTCTCCCTAACTCCATGTTTAAAATAAAATCTTAAAAAAATTTTTTTTTATTCCTCATCCGGCAGCCCCGCGGAGTAAGTTTTCAGTGCCCTTGGGTAACTTGGGCAGACAGCAGGTGAGCCAACCTGGGACTCTGTGGAGGAGGGACATTATGATGCCCCTGGAGAGGACAAAGGCCCACCTGGTATGACCCACACTCCCTCAGCCCACATGAGGCACTGCACTGCCTGGACAAGACAGCACCCAGACCAGGGAGCCCTCCTGGACACTGGGCCACCGGCTCAGGCGCAGCCCGGGAGCACCACCTCGGCCATGGGTCTTGGGGCACAATCATCTCGCAGGACCAGAGTCCAGCTCAGAGCACTTCCTCGTTGACCAGGCACAAGGGGGCACCTGGTGTCTCATGGCTGGGATCCTCACACCAGCCACAAGCGGCGGGTGCCCCCCAGTTTTCTCCCAGCCAGATTCACAGCCCAGCACAGCAGCTTCCAAGGCCCTGCCCTCCTCAGCAGTGCTACCCACAGCCAGCCAGACCCCCGGGCAGGCCAGTGGTGGTGGTAAAATGTTCTCTGAGAAACAGAGACGGGGGAGAGCTCCCACCCTTGGGTTTACTCTCCACAATGGAAGGGGCTGGGCTGGACCAAAGCCAGGAGCCCAGAGCTCAATCCAAGTCTCCCTCAGCTACTTGGAGCCACATCACTTGCTTCCTCCTAGGGTATGCGTTAACGCGAGGCTGGAGTCAGAAGCCAGAGCCAGGTATTGAACCCAAGAAGTTCATTATGGGATATAGGCGTCCCAAGTGGCATCTTAACCATCAGGCCCAATGCAAGCTCTGTCTTTGTTTTAGTAACTTAATTTATTCCTGGTTTTATCATCACACTCTAGCTGTGGAGATTCAGACTTAGCAGGATCTGGGGTAAGGCCTAGATGATTCTTTTTTCTTTAAATTTCACTTGAGAGGAAGTGAGGGAAGGAGAGGAAAAGAGAGAGAGGTCACTCCTATCCACCAATTTACTCCTCAAATTCCCAAATGGCCGAGACTGGGCTAGGCTGACGCCAAGAGCCAGAAACTCAATCCAGATCTCCCAACATGAGTGGCAGAGACCCGACTACTTGAGCCGTCACTGCCACCTCTCAGGGTCTGCGTTAGCAGAAGATGGAATTGGGAGTGGAGACAAGACTTGAACCCAGGTACTCCATAAGGGATACGGGCATCTTAACCATTAGATCAAACATTTGTCCCATTCATCTTTTTTAAAGACTAACTCATTTACTTGAAACACAGAGTGACATAGAGAAGAAATGGGGAGGGAGAGGGAAGGGAGAGAGAGGATTCATGTTTTAGAGATTTAGATATTTGAAAGAGAGACATCAAGAAGGAAAGACAGGGAGGGTCTGGGTGGAAGGGGAAAGAGAGGAGGGAGAGGGGGAGGGGAAGGAGAGGGAGGGAGAGAGGGGGGAGAGAGGAGGGGAGAGGGGGAGGGGAAGGAGAGGGAGGGAGAGAAGAGGGAGAGAGGGAGGGAGAGAAGAGGGAGAGAGGGAGAAGGAGAGGGAGGGAGAGAGGGGGGAGAGAGGGAGAAGGAGAGAGGGAGAGAGAGAGGGAGGGGGGAGAGGGAGGGAGAGAGGGGGGGAGAGAGGGGGGGAGAGAGGGGGGAGAGAGGGGGGAGAGAGAGGGAAAGGGAGAGGGAGAGAGGGAGAGAGGAGAATCCTTCATCTTTTCATCTGCTGATTCAGTCTCCAAATCCTGCCACAGCCAGGGCGAGGCCAGGCTGAAGCCAGGAGTCTAGAACTGCATCTGGGTCTCCCATGTGAGTAGCAGGGACCCAAGTACTGGGCCATCATCTGCTGCCTCCCAGGTCACTGCATGGGACCTGAAGGAGCTGGGATTTGAACCACTGGGCCATCATCTGCTGCCTCCCAGGTCACTGCATGGGACCTGAAGGAGCTGGGATTTGAACCACTCGGACATGGGATGTGGGCACCTCAATCTGTGCCACTCCTGTTTCACCAGGCGCCCGGGGGAGCCTGAGAGCCGGCCAATGGGACCTTCCTACGGGAAAGGAGGCAACCTGCACACCCAGGAGCAGTGACACTGCCCCTCACCTCCACCCAGCGCTTCAGGATCAAGCCCCCCTATCCATTTCCCATTGCCACTGTGAAGAAGTATACAAGCTCCATAGGTTAAAGAAGACAAATTTAATATCCCATCACCTGCAGGCAAGAGCTCCACAGTGGGCCTCAGGGCGCTGGCACCAGGCGATGGACTGGGCTGTGTCCCTTCCAGATGCCCCGGGGGAGGAACACCCATTTCCTGGTCCTCTCCCAGCCTCAGAAGCTGCCTGCATCCCTCAGCTGGCGGCCCCTGCATCCCTCAGCTGGCGGCCCCGCCTCCATCTAAAAGCCAGCAGCACAGTGTGGGTCTCTCTTCCTGGCACCTCCTGCCTTCCTCTTCCATCTCAGAAGGACCTGGGAGGACCCTGGACTCACCCTGCTAACCTCCAGGTCTTTAACTTAATCGCACCTGCAAAGGAGCACATTCCCTGGTGTGGGGATTAGACGGGGGCCATCTCAGGGAGCCGGGAAGTGGGTCAAGGGTCTGTGGGTGGCGTCGCCGCCCGCCCTCAGCACAGCGACCCTGGGCAGCTGGCCCCATCTCCTCAGCCTTGGTTTCCCCTTGTGGAATGGTGATTATGATACTGTTGGGAGAGAAATGGTAACTCCCAGGTAGCAGCTTGCCATTACTCTTTGGTGCCCCAGACCGCGGCAGGGCTCGGAGGAGATGGGGAAGTCCTTGGAACTGGACAGCAGGGGGTCGCTTGCCCTTCCAGCCTCCATCCCGAGCCCTCAGGGAGGAGGCTGGGCAGAGTGGGAACAATCATGGGGTGGGGCCACGGGGTCATAGTGGGGGCCTCCTTTAAATAGAGCCCGAGCCCCGGGGGGAGCCCTGCAACATTAACAGCAACAGCAGGTGTGCAGGCCTCAGCCCTCCCCCATCCCCCCCACCCCTAGGCAGCCGCAGCCGAGCTCGGCCCAAGCCGCCTGCCGCCCAACGCAATGGTCCGGTATCGAGCGAGGAGCCCGAGCGAACATCCACACGGGGAACATGGGCCGGAGCACGAAGGCGAGGGCCAGGAGCCGGACCAGGAGCTGACCCCCGAGACCGGCGACGCCTGCGGAAGGACACACAGAGGCCGCCACCGCCGCCGACAGTGCTCTCGGAGGAGGCTGCACCGGATCCACAGGCGGCGGCGGCGCCGGGTGTGCAGGAGGCGCCGGAGACGCGTTTGCCGGCACAGGAGGAGGCACCGCAGAGGTTTGCCTGCCCCACCCTGGTCTCCCCTGACGACCCCATGTCTTTGGCACTTGTGTCATTGCTGGGAAGGGCAGGAGGGAGGCTGGGATCTCCCCAACCTGTCAGCCTCCCAAAGGGAAAGTTCCCAACCCCCAGCCCCACCCAGATTCCCTAGGTGGCCCCTCACCCAGAACTTTCTTTTTTGAAAGCTGGCAAACGAACGAGGAGGAGGAGAAGATGCAGGAGGCGCCACTAACCCTTCTGCTACCCTGGCCAGAAGTTTAAGGAAAAGTCACCGGCCAAGAACCAGAGGCGAGGCCCTAACAACCCTCCCTCGCCAGGTGCTGAAGCCCTGAGCAACCCAGGAGCCCACGAGACCTGCATGAAATGAGAAATCACCTGCCAAATAAAGCTTCACAAAGACACTCACTGGCTCCCGACTCTGTGTGGACAAATGGCGCCGAGCCAGCTTCCGTCTGGGGCGGGCGGGGTGGGCAGGGTGGGCCTTCGGGCTTCCAGGTGGCAGGCATCCTGCCCACCACATAGCCTCAGGACACCGTCAAGATCCCACTCATGCTTCCACGGTGCCCAAGGGCCTCTAAACAACCGAGCTCTCAACCTAAGACTCTGGCCCGCTCCCTGCGAGGGGGCGGTGGTAAAAGCTGTGTTGTGTGCATCCTTGCAGGGCCCTCACAGTCGGCTGGTGTGGTGGCACAGCTGGCTCTTCCCCTCCAGCTGCCTGCTAACGCGCCTGGGACAGCAGAAGCAGGTGGCCCAAGCACTAGGGCTCCTGCACCCACGTGGGAGACCTGGATGCGGCCCCGCCCAGCTGCAGGGCTGCAGTCATTTGAGTGAGTGAACCTGTGAATGGAGATCTTTTTCTCTGGGTCTCTCCCTCTCTTGGTAACTATGCTTTTCAAATAAAAAAAGTAACAGTGTCTGGTCTCGAGGGGAAGTGTGGATTGTGCCATCAGAGGAACAGTGACGCAGAGGCCCCGAGGTGGGAACAAGGTCAGCGTAGAGGGGGAGCGAGCACGAGCCGGATGGGGTGAGGCTGTGCTGGCCAGCGAGTCCCGCAGGCTGTGCTGGGGAGACTGCTCCTTCCAGCGTCCCGGGGGCCGCCCCTCAGAGCCCACCTGAATAGGTAACCAGGCTCCAGGGTCAGGGCACCACCGCATGGGGAGGCAGAAGAGGGGCCCGATCCAAATCGGATCCCTGTAACACAGGGGTCTCCCCCCGCCTCTCAGGCTGACCCTGGGCAGCCTGGCCAAGGGCAGTTCCTCGTGAAGCTCAAGCTTCCGGCTGCCCCTCCCCCCATCCCCGGAACCAGGAGGTGAACAATCCCGAGTTCTTTATTCACAACCAGCCGCAGCAGCATCCGGGAGGATACACGGAGGCCCACAGCCCCATCTAGCACGTGCAGGTCAGGGCCGCCGCTCCCCGCCCCGCTCCCACCCTCACAGACTGGCCACAGCTCTCCCTGGCCCAGGTTCTGGACGCCCCCCCCCCCCCACCACATTTCCACAGACAACCCCCTTAAGCCTCATCCCATCTACAAGGGGACTCTCCCAGGGCAGAGGGGCCACCCAGGCACTGACCTCCCTGCTCTGCCCTGGGGTGGTGGCAGGAGTGGGCTCAGACTCAGGGCACCCCCTGGGGGGGGCTCCGGGGGGGCCCCTTTGTGATGTCAGCTCCCTGCCTTTCACCCTCAGAGCCGCTGCACTGCCCCAGCTGCCTCCCCTGCTAGTTCAGAGAGGCACAAAGTACGCAATGGGTTCCCGCTGTGCCAAGCTCGGCACGAGCCACAGCACGGGCCACGGCACGGGCCACAGCCGGGGCCACGAATCCTCCATGAAGAAACTCGTGGCTTGCGTGAGTCAAGATAACTTCTCCCTGTCTTCTGAGGGTGAGGAAGAGGAGGAGGAGGAGGAAGAGGAGGAGGAAGAGGCGATCCCGGTGCAGGGCAAGCTGTTGCTGATGGAGCCTGAGCAGCAGGAGCAGGGCGCTACAGACAGCCCCAGGGCCCAGCAGAGCCCCACGTCCAAGCAGACGCGCTCCTGACCACGTCGCCCACGGCAGCCGCGCCAGCCGAGGGGCTCCCTCTGTTGTTCCAGCGAGAACTTTCGGAAGATTCAATAAAAAGTCTCCAAGGAATTGGCCTCCTCTCTGTTCCTTTCCACATGTGCACATGTGTGTGCTCGCGTGACTGCACGCATGGGCACATGAGGGTGCCTATGGGGGAGGGCGAGGCCAGCTGCCAGGAGAGGCTGAAGGCAGGGCCGGGGCCTTGTTTCTGACGCCCATCTGCAGGTTCTCCTGTGCTGGGGGGGGCAGGCCACTGGGCAGCAGGGGCTGGAAGTCATCCCAGCAGTTCCGGCTTGGGCAGGGGCTGTGCTCCCAGCAAAGTGCCCGTGGGAAGGCACCGCCAGCCTCTGCGGGAGCCGGTTCCACTGCCCTGGCCCAGCATGCTGGGCTCCAGCCTCTGTTCTGATGACCGTGCGGCCTGCAGCAGTGTGCCCCCTCACGTCAACGGGGAGCCAGGCCTGGGGCCCGGAGCCTGCTGGGAGGGAAGGCCTGAGCGAGCACTCAGCCGAGACAGCACCGTGGCTGGGGTCACGGGGTCCCACCTGCCTCGCTGGAGGAGTCTGGCTCCTCAGCCACTGATTCTGCCGTCACCCCCGCCTGGAGGCTCACTCCTGCCTTCACCGAGGGATCTGGCTGGGGGGACAGGGGCCAGGCCCCTCTCACTCGCAGCTGGGTGCACCTTCGGTTGCCCAGCAGGCCCCCGGCTCCCTTCCCCCTCTATGCAGAAGAAATGGCAGATGGGCTCTCTGCCCTGTTCCTGGCAGGGGCGGTTGAGGGGGTGGGGAGGAGGCAGTGTCCCCAGAGAGGGCTCTGTTCCCTTGGGGTGGGTTTGAGGGGTAGGAAGGGGCCTTGGGTTCCCGGAAGTGAGGCAGCTGCAGGTGGCCCAGGGCAGATGGGAGGAAGGAGGAGGCCCTGTTGGCCCAGGACTGCCACCCTACCCAGCCTCGTCTTCCAAGTGGGTCCCCGAGGCCCACCTGCCCATGCGCTGGCCCAGCAAACATCTGTTGAGCCCCTGCTGTAGACCAAGACCAGTCACGGAGCTGGTCCCCAGGGCCCTGGTGTTGCTAAAACACAGCGTCCGACCTGAGAGGCTTTGCAGTGACAGGGAGGCAGGGTACGCTGTGTCCCAGGGAGGCGGGGACATCACTTCTCCAAGCGAGGGCTGGGGAGCCTGTGCTGCCACTGGCACACTCCACTTGAAGGGAGGGAAGTGGGGAAGGGTTCAGAGAACAGAGTTCTCAGGGTGTGGCCACTCCCCAGAACCGGTCTCCAGCCCCACAAGGCAGGGCCCTCAGCAGCCTGAGGATCCAGTTCCAGGAGTGACCATCAGAGGCGCCCAGGCCTGGGGGAGCCCACGCCCCGTATCAGAGCACCTGGGTTTGAGTCCCAGCGCTGCCTGTGATTCCAGCTCCCAGCACACGTGCACCTGGGAAGCAGCAGTGTTGGCTCCCGAGGAGCTGAGTCTCTGCCACACACACAGAGACCCAGGTTGAGTTCTGGGATCCTGGCCTCAGCCTGACCCAACCCTGACTGTCATGGGCATCTGGGGAGTGAACCAGCTGATGGATGATCTCTCTCTGTCCGTCTCTCTGTGTCTGTCCCTTTCACATAAATGTTTTTATAAAAAAACAAACAAACAAACAAAAACAACACGAGGCAGCCAGGCCTGGATTTGAATCTGGGCTCTGTCCCAAGTTGCTGCGGGCCCATGAGCTGGTTCCTCAGCCTCTCTCGGCCTGTCCCCTCTTTACGACATGTGCTCACCTTAGCTGCCCCACGAGCTGCATTTGCTTCATCAAACTGTCACAGGCATGGTGGCTTACAGTGGCGGCACTTCCGGTCTGTGGGGCCTCCACGAGGATGCCCTGCCACCTGTGTGCACTGGGGTCCAGGCATGGCTGGGCTGTGGCTTTATCACGCCAGTCTCTGCCTCCATCTTCGCACGGCCTTCCCTTGCCCCGGGGTCAGGGGTGACCATAAAAGGTGTCCAGGTCCCGGGCTGGTGTGCACACAGCAGTGAAGGGCTGAGGTCCGAATCCTGGCACTCCTGGATTTAGGGCCCACTCGGACGTCCCATGCTCGTCCCTCAAGATTCTCAGCTTAGCGCTCCCTGCAAAGCCCCTTCTCACAAATAAGGTCTCGTGGGCGGGTTCTGGGGCTGGGACGTGGATGCAGATTTGGGGCCATGGCTCAGCCTCCTGCACAGGCTCCCTGAGAGGCTGGGGCGCGAGCTGCCTGGAAGGGGTGGGGCTCTGAATCCAGCCCCCAGGAGATGTTCAGTAAACACGGCAGCTTTCACCCTGAGCCATGTGACAGGGTTCTTAGGACATGGATGCCAAGAAAGCAGACGGAGCAAATCCTGTGCGAGGAAACAGCGAGACGCGAGCCTGGGGGGGGGGGGGGGTAGTGGGGCTGCAACTGGGGCGGCGCAGACTCCCGAGGCCTCAAAGACAGTCGGGCGTCCTTCTCGGGGTGCAGGCAGCGCTGGGGGTGTCTGCCAGGGAGGGGAGTGGGATCCCAGGGGCTGCTGCAGCTGGGCTCAGGCTGGGCTCAGCATGTCAGGCTCATGAAGACACAGGGAGGAAGGAAGGAAGGACGGCCCTGTCACCTAAGGCCACCACCCGGGAAGACGCAGTGACCTGGGTAAGAGCAGACCTCAGCACACACTGGTTTGGACCCTGGCTGAGCCCTGCCAGGCCGGCCCCAGGGCACCGCGTGCACATTCACTCAGGCTCGTCTCTCAGCCACCCCTAGGAGCTGCCTGTCAGGTCACCGCCACCGTGCCCTCCCTGTCCACACATTCTCCATCTCAGCCATGCCCACCTGCCCAGCGACTGCCACCAGGGCGCGGCTGCTCCCCTGTATCCAGAAAGGGGAGGCGACAGTACGAGTGGAGGCTGTTTATTGGGCCCTGCCTGTGGGCTGGGCTTGTGCTGGCTGCCAGGCCCAGGTTCTCTGAGTTCTCTTCACCTGTGAGGTGGGTATGGTTACAGTCCCCGTTCTACAAAGACAAGGACACTGGGACTGTCCAGGGCTGAACGCTACGGCTGACTCAGCTCAGCCAGACCCAAGGGCCAGGCTCTTAGCCAACACACGGGACAACCCACAGTGGCCCTCAAAGCTGCCCCACCCTGATGCGGGTGGGGGAGGAGGTGACCTGATCCTGGCCAGGCCCTGTCTGTCACACCCTTGTGTCATCACAATCGACCACCACTATATAACCAGGGCCTGCTGGGGCCCCTGGAAAGCGGGGCCTGCTGGGAGAGGAGGAGGAGGCTTCTGCCCCTCCAAGCGTGACCTCCCATGGACACCAAGACACAGAGCCTTCCCATCACCCACACTCAGACCCACAGCAGCTCTCGGCCCCAAAGCCACACCTGCAACCAGTGCAAATGTAGCCGTCACTGCCAGAACTGCAGCCCGAGCTGTAGCCGGTGCCAGAACCGCAGCCGCAGTCGCAGCCGTAGCCGTAGCCGCAGCCGCAGCCGGGGCCCACCCAGCCACCAGAGCCAGAGCCCAAGCTCCAGCCTGCCACCAAGGCACCACAAGCCAGCCATGCACTCGCACATGCGGCCCACCACCCACTGCAGCAGCTGCCCCAGGAACAGGAAGACCTTGGATGGAAAGGTGAACAAGAGAAAGACGGCCAGGAGGAGCCATCAGGTGTACAAAACCAAGAAACGAAGCTCAGGTACAAGCAGGGGGAGGGGCTGCCAGCTGCATCTCTGCTGCTTCTCCAACCAGGGTCACAGGGGGCCACGGGCAGAGGCGGACGCTGGGCTGGTTCTGCAGGTAAAGGTCACTGGCTGCCTGGACAAGAGAACCAGCCCGCGAGGCAGATTAACTAGCCCAGTGTGGAGGGGTGGAGGGGTGGAGGGGAGGAGGGGAGGCTGGGCGGCTAAGCGAGTGGGCTGGTTAGGCAATTGGGCAACAGAAAGCAGCAGGGGAGATGAACGGATTTGCTTCTTTGCACACACGTGCATACATGTGGACTGGACTGATGCAATGGCTGAGGAAGAGGAGCTGGATCAGTTAGCGATGGCTGAAGGATGTGGTTAGATTTTGATAGTTGGGTTGCATGAGGTTTTGAAGGGCAAATGGTTTAACTAGTTATACAAGTTGGCTAAGTTGAACACTAGACTGGACAGATCAGCGGATGGGTGGCTGATACACTGATAGTTTATGGGGCGGACGAATGGAGTCACTGAACAATGCTAAGGCTATTGGGGTAAGCTGGAGAAGAATGAGATGATGTTGGGTAAAGGGATGGAATGAGTGACCTAACGAGTGGGTGGACGCGTGGATAGACTCAAGAGCCAAGAGGACATGAAGGACGGCTGAGCTCTACCCATGCCCCCGGCAGAGGAGCAGTCTTAAGGCCTAAAGGAGTGCAGGGACTTTTACGAAGCGTTCACCCATTGAAGATCCCTTTCTCACTTCTGTTCCTTAGGCCGCAAGTGCAACTGATGAGACGGCACTCCCTGGCTTGTTCCTGTGTCAGCTGCAGCCAAATGAGAAATGCCACTACGCATGGAATCTAGGACAGTGTCAACCGTTTTGCAGGAACATGTTACTACAGTGATTTCTATGCAACAGTGATTAAAGCTTGTACACTGGTTTCTGTCCTGAGTCAGTGTTTCCATTTCATGAATAAAGGCGTCGTGTGTTTCGGGGCCTGCTTCGGAGGCACCAAGCCAAGGACTTGCCTGTGAGGGACCCTCGGTGCCAGCACCTGGGCTGAGATGCCAAGAGGTCAAAAAACACTGGAGGCCGACAGGCAGTGCCATTGGCCCCATGTACTCCCACGTGTGTACACACACAAGGCCCACATGGTGTTCACGGGATTCACACGCAACAGCCCATGTACGCATGGCAGACAGGGGCAAGAGGGGCCAGGAACGTGCCTTTGGAGGCCAGAGCACCCTGAGTTTGATCCTGGCTCCTGTTTACCTGCTGTGTGACCTCAGACTGGTAGTCAGGCTCTCTGAGCTTCCCTTATCCATCCTAGGAACTCCTACCAAGCTCAGAGCTGCTCCAACTGTCACTAAGGGCTCCCGTGTGTGCAGGGACGGTGCTAGGCTGTGGGACACAGAAACGGGACACGTGTGGCCTGCTCTGATCGGGGTTTCCAGTCCAAAGATCCCACAAGCCTCGCTGGTTAGCATTTGCTGTATCAGAGGGATGGGGTGACTTGGAGGGCAGGTCAGGGAAGGCCCTATGGCAACCTCAGAGAAGAATGCTCCAGGCCAAGGGAGCAGCATGGACAAAAGCCCCAAGAAAGGAGAGAACGTGGTGTCCCCAACACCCAGAGCAGCCAGCACGAGGTGGCAGGCGGTGGGTGGGCCACGTGGGAGAAGCCCCCTGCTGGGCCAGTTGTGGAGGGTGTACAGGCCAGACAGGAGCGTGATGAAGACGGGAGTGAGGGAGGGCTCAGCTGGGAACCGCCAGGCTCCTGGGTGTTAAGACGCTCTGGCCCACGGTGTGGAGATTCGGGAGCGGCACGGAGACCCTGCCACACAGCCTCGTGGCAGCCACCAAGCACGGGGGGGAGGCGAGGCGAGGCGGAGGCGCGGCAGCTCTTGCACACGATGGGCAGGCAGACACGGTCACCCACGACTTGGAAATGTGCTGGGTTGCTCTCGCGGGGCACCTCGAGGGCTCAGCACCCAGCGAGCCTCTGCCACGAGAGCACACAGCCCCAGCACGGCGGCTTAGCCACGGACCTTCGAACCCGGCAGCCTGGGGACCCTTGGCGAGCGCCGTCTGCTCCCAGGACCCCCTCCTCGTCTAACTATGGGGAGTAACTCTGGCCTCAGGAGACTCAGCCTGACGCGCACCGAGAGGGCAGCAGCCACAGGGCCACCAGGGCAGGGGCAGTCTGGGCGCTTTCGGATCTCTGCAGGGGGCCTGCAGCAAGCCGCCTCCCCTCGAGCAGCCACCAGGCCCAGGCCCAGGCCCAGGCCCACAGGGTAACTGGCACAGGGCCTGTTGGTTCCGTCTACACCGCTCCACCTCGGCCTCCCTTCCGAGGGGCCCTTGTCCTCCGCTCAAGCAGGGGAGGCTCCTCCCTTACCAGAGGGCGTGGGGAAGGGCCCCTGGAGGCCGGGGCATCGGCGTTCACCTAGTGTGCGCCCTCCACAGGTGGCACCGCTGCTCCCACTTCACAGAAGCGGAGGCTCCGCGCTGAAACGACTTGATCAGGGCCTCCTGGCGGGCGGCTCTCCCACAGCCACACAGCCCCTGGTGCCAGGGCAAGTCTGTGGGTCCTCTGGGGAGCACACGTGGAGAGAGGAGGCAGACACAGCAGGTCAGAGGTCCGCCCTGCACGGCAGTGTCCTCTCACGATGGCTGCGGGCAAGGCCTCCTCTGTTCCATGGGCACAGCCTGCGCCCGGCGGAGGTTCATGGACTCATCCTTAAGTCCACATTTCCTGAAACCAACACTCACACACACACACACACACACACACACGGCAGCAGCTGTCCAAACTCACGCAGAGGGACTGCCACACACCCCCCGGCCTGCTCCCCACCCCCAGCTCCAGGTGAACCCCCCAGGGACTTAGTGTCAGACGCAGGCAGAGGCAAACCGAACCACACGCTCATTCTCTGACTCCCTCAAGGGGTGGGGTGGGCGGGGCTTGGGGCAGGCCTGCTGGAAACCCAAACTCAGAAAACGGAAACAGAAGGTAAATTCAGTGGCCCACAGTGAACGTGGGCTCTGCAGGTGGCTGGTCTCAACTCTCCAGTCCGCAGACTCAAACGGGGCGGACACAGCGGGACAGAGTGAGCCCTGGGAACACTGAAACACAGCCTGGCCTCTGGGGGAACCGTCCACCCACTCACCCAGGCGCTATCCCTCCTGCAGGCCTGCGCGGCTACTCGGGGGACCCAGCGGTCCCGGGCAGGGGTGGTGGTGAGGCAGGCAGCAAGAAGGCAGAGCGTTGCCTTGATGTCCATGTGAGGGAGACGCAGGGGCAAAGACACCAAAACTCTCAGCCACACAGACCCAGACTCAAATCGCACGGCCTGGCCCCTGCTGTGTGACCTGGGCCTTTCGCTGAGCCGATCTGAGCCTGGTGGAGAGGACCAAGGGGCCCTGCTGCTCTTGTTTCTGTACTGCAGTCCTCAGCACGGTGCCCAGCACGGGTGGGGGACTAGTAAACATTTGCTGAATAAAAGGAAGGAGCAGGCACTAAGGCGACACTGAGATGGCACCCGTGTGCCCATCAAAGAGGCAAAGCCAGGAGAAGCGACGCTAGCAAGCATGGGCACAGACACTGGGGGCACAGAGCTGAACGCGGCCGCCGAGCTGGGGACGCGTGTCGGTGAGCTGCGGGCTGTGCCTGTGGGCGCTGAATAAATACACGCAGATTGCCGCTCACGCACGTGCGCCAAGAGCCCGGAGGGGAGACTGGGGGCCACGGCACACGCGGCAGCAACCAATAACCTATGTGTCCACCCACAGGGGATGGCCAGTGGACATGCAGGTCCACGCTGAGGACCCTCACAGAGTTCTTCAAAAGGATGGGGCATCTACACATGCTGGTGTGTGAGAAGGGCAAAATGGAGCAAGATACACCACGGCCCAGGCACGATTCCCACACAGGGCGGCACCGTGTTGTTACGAGTGAAATACACGTGTGTGAGCGCACAGGGAAAGATCTGGGAGGATACAGCCCAAACTGCTGCCTTAGGGGCAGGAAGGCACTTTCGTAAAGAAGGAACGCGCGGACAGGAGCGAGCGTCACCGGTGAACGCATCCCATGGGTGCTCACAGGCAAGACAGCACTGCCAAGGCGGATGCTGCATCAGCCCCTGCCCAGGGCTCTCCCCAGAGGGACCCACTGCCCACGGGCCTGAGGCCATTCCCTTCCGCCTCCCCGCTGCTGCTGGGGCCTCATGGGTGTCCTATGGGTGCTCTACGGGGTGCTCCAGTCCCGCCCCGGGCTCGATGCCACCTGCTCCTGAAACTTAGTCAAGGGCCACCTCCTGCCCAGCCTGCTCAGGACCCTGCCAGCTGGGCCAGGTGCCTCGTCTGGTGCCAGCAGACACCGGGCTTCCTGCGTGGGCAAGTGTGCGCCCTGGAAGGATGCCTCGTCCATCTGAGGGAACGGGGTCAAGTTCAACCTCTCGTCACGGAGCCTGCCAGCCTCGCCAGCCTCAGGCCTTGTCCTGCCCCGACCCCCAGCGTCACCCGCCCACCCAGCTGCAAAGTGTTTTCTCCTTCTCTGCCACAGCCAGAGGTGAGCGTGCTGCTTCTTTTATTTTTTTATTTTTTTGACAGGCAGAGTGGACAGTGAGAGAGAGAGAGACAGAGAGAAAGGTCTTCCTTTTGCCGTTGGTTCACCCTCCAATGGCCACCGCGGCTGGCACGCCAAAGCCAGGAGCCAGGTGCTTCTCCTGGTCTCCCATGGGGTGCAGGGCCCAAGTACCTGGGCCATCCTCCACTGCACTCCCGGGCCACAGCAGAGAGTTGGGCTGGAAGAGGGGCAACCGGGACAGAATCTGGCACCCCGACCGGGACTAGAACCCGGTGTGCCGGCGCCACAAGGCAGAGGATTAGCCTAGTGAGCTGCGGCGCCTGCCAGCATGCTGCTTCTTGCTGTCAGCTGCTGACACTTCATCTGCCACTTAGGAAACAAGGCAGCGTGAGTCGTGTGAGCCAGAGGGCTCATGAGGGTGGCATCAAAATGGAACCGAAGGTCCCGAGTGCTCCGCTGCCGACAGGTGCTGCGCCTTGCAGGCAGGCCTTTTGTGACAGTCCTCTGGTCCACCAGGATGAAGCCAACTTGCCAGAAAGCACACGGCTGGGAGCAGGCGGGCCTGGGCTCCACAAACAGTGCTGTCAGGAAGCCACATCCCACCGCGCCTCTCGGGGAGCGGTTAACATGGAAGCAGAGCCCACCGTCTGTCTGACTTCACTGCCCGTCCTTCACTGGTCACACAGGCTGGGATAGTCTCTCGGGACTGCCGAGCCCAGAGTGCCCCACAAGGTCCTGCCAGCAGCCCAAGTTGGGCTTTCCTCCCAGAACCATGGGAAAAGTGGAACAAGAGAAGGCACCGGAAGACTGCCACCTGGCCCAGCACAGGGCCTGGGGAACGGAGGGAGGCTAGCCCCAGAATTCAGGCCAGTCTCCCCCCCCACCCCCAGGCCATGCTCCCTATGGAGCCCTCCCTTGGGACTGTCCCTGTTCCCGCTGCAGGGGTGTGTCCCACAGTGCTGGGACTCCAGAGGGCCCTCCCCACACCCAATCCTATGGTGATTCCCGGGCTGTGACGGCTGTCCCGTGTCCCTCCACTGCCCAACAGGGTCCTGCTGGACTGACCAGACTCGGACATGCCTTGGTTCTACACCAACTCTACCTGGCTCCTTGGTGGTCCTCAGGCACGCCAGTCAGCCCTGCCACAGGGCCTTGGCACTGGCTATCCCCTCGGCCCCGGGACCTCTCCTTCCTTCTCTCACAAAGACCTCCCTGTCAACACGGCCTCCTCCAGGAGGCTTTCCCGGTCTTTTGGCTCACCCACATTGCGCCCTCTCTCCTTGTTTCTTTCCAGCACAGCCTCAGCATCGTCTGAGACGGCTCCCTCGGGCTGCTCGAGGACCTTCAAGTCCCCAGTACTTGGCACACAGCTGGTACTTTGTACCTACCTGCTGCGTAAGTACTGAGAGTGCAGTAGGTCTATCACTCCCCCTTTGCAGACGAGCAAACTGAGGCACAAAGAAGCCAAGACGCTGCTCCTCGCCGCATGCTCTATGGAGGGACAGATGTCAGCTCAGGGAGCGGATGCTCGGAGCCCCACAGCCCAGGGCTCCCAGGGTACGGACTTCCGGGGACCCTCGCTGGGCGCTGCGTCACGGACAAGGCAGGCTGAGGAGCACTGGGGCAGAGCGCAGGCGCACAACTGCCTTGCCCAGGGACTGCTCTTCCCGGCAGGACCTTGCCGAAGCTGGAAAGAGAAACTGAAAAACTGGATTCCTCAGGGCAAGATGCTGATGGTCTCCAGCTGCTGGCTGGGCCCCTCAGTGCTGGGCCAGCAGGGCCTGCAAGGGGGCAGGGGCGTCCCACACCCTGGGCTGCCCCTGCCTGTGCTCAGCGCCTGGCACTTTGCTCTGGGCTTTGCATGCCCTGCTGCTCCAGGAGGCACAAACTTTCCAGAGCCCATTTTGCAGATGGGCAAACCAGGCCCCGAGAGGCAGAGGGATTAGCTGGGAAAGAGCAGGCCGGGTCCTGCTCTGGAGTCTGAGCTCCCAAGGGGTTCCCGCTGCCTGGCACCCCTCCGGGAACAATGGCCTGGGGACAGATGCTTGGCAATCCGCCAATGTCTTTTTCCCTTGCGGCATCTGGATTTAGTTTCATTTTGAACTCAGGACTTCAGAAACTGAAAGCAAAGTCACGTGACTGTCAGCGGAGGCTCTGAGAACGCAGCAGCTTGTGCCTGTCACACAGCAATTGTGCAACCTGGCCGGGTGGAGCAGGGGCCAGGCCTGCTCAGCAGGCCAGGAAACGGAGACTCACAAGGATCCAAAGCCACGTCAATGCCGCGGCTGAGGCCACGACCTGGAACCTCCCCAGCGTGATAAACTGCAGGGAAGCCGGCAGCCCTGCGCGCCCCTCGCGGTCAGCTCAGGGCCCGGGGGGTCTGTCTGGGGTATTCGGTGTCCACTGCTTTTCCAGCAGACATGCCAGGATGGGGACCACCAGGAACGGGGGAGTGGAGAATGAGACTACCGCAAAGGGCAAGGGCGAGCAGTGTGGGGTCAGATAGCCTGACTTGAGTCCCTGCTCAGCCCTTCTGAGCTGTGTGTCCTTAAGCAAGTGACTCCCTCCTCTGAGTCTCAGTTTTCCTCTCTGTGCAATGGGTCAACTGGATTCTGATGTCAATTCGATGATCTCAGGATGTAAAGCAGTGAGCACAGTCAGCTTTGGCCAAGCGGTCACAGCAGATGAAGGCAAGGGTGCATGGGATGGGTGGGAGACACCAGGGAGTGGGAGGGACAAGAGGGGGTGGTCCCAGTCCCCAGCATAGGGGGTAGCTCTCAAGCAGCCACTGAGGCCACCACAGGGGACAGGATGGGCGTATGGGCCATTAGCTACGTACAGAGCTCTGTGCACCAGTGAGCGCCGCAAGCTCAGGAGCCCGCCCTGCCTGGCTGCCTCTTCTGGCCCTGGACCACCTGTCCCCAGCTCAGGTGAGAAGGGGGTCTGGTTTACCCCCAGAAGCACCCATCTGCCCCCTCAGCCATGCCCCTGGGGCAGGACTAGGAAAACACAAAGGACGAAGCATGTGCGTGCGGCCCCTGGGGTGAGCACCCGACGCACAGTCACTCGCCATCGGCTAGCCCCTCCATTCTCACCCGTCTCCAGCAGACAGCTTCGTCACAGGCACGGGGCCGCAAGGCTGGAGAGCAGCAGCACTGGAACTGGGTCTGGGCCCAGAGACGAGCTTTGAACTCTGACCGAGCTTTGTATCTTACGCCCCCGCCCCCCCCAGCAGATGCTCCATCCACAGCACCGGACCCCTGGCATATGCACGGCTCTGCATCTTCTCTCTGGTCCCCTTGCACGTGTGCCTGCGCGCGTGCGTGTGCACAAACACACACACACACCCGGGATCACACGGATGGGCACACCACAGACCACCACCAGCCTCAGACACACACAACCTCCAGGAGCTGATGGGGCTCCTCACCGGCTTGTGTCTGGGCCAGACCCGGTGGGTCGTGTCCAGGAGGAAACACAGGATTGGCCTGTGCTTGGGGGATTGCGCCAGCAGGGAGGCGGGAAGGAGGGCCCAGCTTCCAGGAGAGGAGCCATCTGGGCTGCAGCCCGAGAGCCGCCTGCAGAGGGCAGTGTGTGCCAGCGGGAGGCGGTCACCAAGCCCCCAGCCTGGGGGCCTTCCTTGGGACCCCTCCTGTCCGTGGCTTTGCCCGACAGAGTCACTAAATCACACACCTGCACAAATCACAGCCCTACCCCCGCCCCCCATATCCAGCCCAGGATGCGGCTGTGCGTTTGGGGAGGGGGCGGACTGTGAAGTGCAGCGCTCTGCGAAGTGGCTGCGGGGAGGGGAGGCCCAGGTACCCAGAGGCTTGGAGCCCGCACACCTGAAAAGGCCCCGTTTTCCCACTGGAAAACTGCCTTTCACAGTGCAGTCTGAAGGTACCCAGCTGCCCCGCTCCCCGGAATGAAGATGGGGAGAGCGGGCGCCGGATCGGGGCCTGCCCTGCCCTCCCTGGCGGCTCAGTTTCCTCGGCTGTCGCCAGCAGGAGCGCTCGGAAGCGGACGGAGACAGCTGGGGACCTTGCCCAGCCGCGCCCGGTTTCCGAGGAACTCAGCGGCCGGCGTCGCTGGGTTCTTCTGAAGCCTGTGGTCAAGCAGCCGCTTCCTGGGAAGCGCGAGCAGGGGCTGGGCACTGCGGGACCCCGGGGGCGGGTGACAGGGGCGCAGAGCCGCGAGGTCCCCCCTCCCCGAGCCTCAGCGCAAGCAGGGACAGCTCGGACCACAAGGTCGGGGAGAGCTACGGGGGCTGCCTGCAGGGGAGCCAAGGGCAGAGCCTTGGCGCCCAGAGCCCGCGGGGGACGGGGCGTGTAGGGACCAGCGCAGGCGGCGCACAGGGCACGGAGGAGACCCGGGGCCGGCGGGAGCAGGGCAGGAGTGGGGACGCCGGCTCTGAAGCGGGCTTCCGAGAAGCGCCCAGAAGATTCGGGAGGTGGGGCCAGAGGCCTCCGGCAGAGGGGTGCAGGACGGGCGCGAGGACGCCCCGGTGTCCCGGGAGCGTGGAAGAGAAGCTGGGCGCCACCGCGGAAAGAGAAACCGAAAGCGGCGCCTGAAGGGGGGCGGCGCCTGCGGGGCGGGGCCTCCGCCGGCGCCCAGCCCCGCCTACCAGGCCAGTTAAAAGACTGGTGCAGGGGCGGGCGCCGAGCAGAGCGAGCTGCGGCCGTGGCAGCTGCACGGCTCTCGGCCCCGGAGCATGCGCGAGAGCCGCCCCGGAGCCCCCTGCCGCCCCGCCCGCGGCGCTCCGCGCCCCGCCGCCAGGTGAGCCCGGCACTGGGCAAGGAGGCGGGAGGGAAAAGGGAGGAAAGGCGAGGAAAAGGGCGCCCGGGAGCCGGGCCGGCTTCGGTGGGTAACGGCCGCCATGCCTCGGGTCCCCGCCGGCCGGCCCCACCCAGGCCGCCCCCCGCGCGCGCGCGGGGTTCCCAAAGCGCAGTCCTTTCTCCAGCCTTTGCCCAGCGCGCCCAGCTCGGGCGCCAGTGCCCTGCCTGGCCAGCAGGCGGCGGCCGCGGGGCGGCGAGCGGCGGGCCGGACAGCCGGAGCCGGGACGGGCTTCTCTCCTGCACCCCTCTCCACGCCCCGCGCGGAGCTGGACTCCGCCCCCCACTCCCCGTGCCTGGACGGGCGGAGTGCCTGAAAAGGCCGTGTTCTAGACGAGCCCACCGAGGCTCCCTGCAGCCGCGCGCCTCCCCTTCCCACGCGCGGCCGCCGCGCCGGCTCACTGCCTCTGTCTCCTCACCAGCGCACCCCCGGACGCTATGGCCCTCCCCTCCGGCTGGCCCCTCGTGTAGGATGGTGGCACACAACCAGGTGGCAGCCGACAATGCAGTCTCCTCGGCAGCAGAGCCCCGACGGCGGCCGGAGCCTTCCTCCTCTCCCTCCTCCTCGCCCGCGGCCCCTGCGCGCCCGCGGCCGTGCCCGGCGGCCCCGGCCCCGGCCCCTGGCGACACGCACTTCCGTACATTTCGCTCGCACGCCGACTACCGGCGCATCACGCGCACCAGCGCGCTCCTCGACGCCTGCGGCTTCTACTGGGGGCCCCTGAGCGTGCACGGCGCGCACGAGCGGCTGCGCGCCGAGCCCGTGGGCACCTTCCTGGTGCGCGACAGCCGCCAGCGGAACTGCTTCTTCGCCCTCAGCGTGAAGATGGCCTCGGGCCCCACGAGTATCCGCGTGCACTTCCAGGCCGGCCGCTTCCACCTGGACGGCAGCCGCGAGACCTTCGACTGCCTCTTCGAGCTGCTGGAGCACTACGTGGCGGCGCCGCGCCGCATGCTGGGCGCCCCGCTGCGCCAGCGCCGCGTGCGGCCGCTGCAGGAGCTGTGCCGCCAGCGCATCGTGGCCACCGTGGGCCGCGAGAACCTGGCGCGCATCCCCCTCAACCCCGTCCTCCGCGACTACCTGAGCTCCTTCCCCTTCCAGATCTGACCGGCCGCGCCTACCGTGCAGGCAGCATTAACGGGGTGGGGGGTGCCCGCCGTATTATTTCTATTATTATTATAATTATTTGCCTGGAACCATATGGGTGCCCTCCCGCCGGGCCGGAGGGAGCGGTGGGGGGTGGGCGCGCCCCTCCTGGGGCTCCCTCTGGGCCCCCTGGTTGGTGTAGCAGCTTGATTTAACCGGATCTGGGGCCAGGACCTGAACTCGCACCCCTGCCTCTTCATGTTTACATAGACCCAGTATCTTTGCACAAACCAGGGGCCGGGGGAGGGTCTCTGGCCTTATTTTTCTGCTGTGCAGAATCCTATTTTATATTTTTTACAGCCAGTTTAGGTAATAAACTTTATTATGAAAGTTTTTTTTTTTTAAAGAAAAAAGGTCTGGACGGTGTGTACTTTGGGCCAGAGTCGTCCCTGGGAGGCCGGTGGGTTGGACTCCGGGGAGGCAGCCTGGGTCTGGGGGGGTGGCAGGTGGTCCAGCCTGCTGTGTGCCAGTCCTGTGGGGGCTCTGCTGGCTGCAGCTCGCTCGGTCCTGTGGAGAGCCACCCTGCCGAGGAGGCACAGGCGCCTGGCCCCATTTCACAGAAGAGAAAACCAGGCGAGGGGCCGGCTGCCCCGAGGCCGTTTCTGTGTGTGTCCACCCAGGATCTCGGAGATGGGTGACACAGAGGAAACTCGCTGGTTCTGAGACCACAACAACTTCCAGGAAGAGGGTGGGGGCAGCCGGGAGGAGGGGGCGCCGACGGCGGGGATGCAGGGGCAGGGGCGGACTTCCTTCTTCCCGCCCCGTCGGGACCTGTGTACTTTTTGGTGAACACACTTTGGAGTCAGAACTAGGCTCTGTGGTCTGCGGCAGAGCGAGGGCCTGCTGGCGGCTCTGGGTAAATCCCTGTGGCTCCCCAGGCCTCCGCCTGGGCCCTCGCTCAGGCGGGGAGGCCAGGGCTGCTCTGGTCGCTGGCCCAGGATGCGGCTTTCACGGCTACTCCTGCACCCGTGGCCGGCCTGGCAGAGGGGCGGAGAACTGATTCATTCTCAGGTTAGGCGGCCTCGTGGACACGTGCCACGGTGTCCAGCAGCCTGGACGCACTGAGGGTGCAGTGTCCTCATCGTGTAGGGCTGCAGGGCTGGGCTTGTCTGGGCTTTGATAGGCTCGGCTCCAGGTGTGAGGGGAGGGTGGCCCGGAGAGCTGGAGCCCACAGCTGCTGTCCAGCCCCCTCTAGGAGGGCCAGGGGAGGGGGACGTCCCTGCTGTTGCTCTTCCAGAACCACCTCCTCACCCCTCACTGGCTGCCCCGTCTGGCCTGGGGCGGTGCCTACAGGGATGGAAGGCGGCCTCCGGGAAGGCCTCAGCACCAGCCCCCGCCCAGGGGCTGCGGCGCGGCCCTGTGCCATCCTCCCCGCCAGCCCCCACCCGGCAGATGGCAGAGCAGGGCGCAGGGCCCACCGAGGTGGCCGGCCTGTGCTGTCCAGAGGCCACCCCAGGACCTGTGGCGCAGGTACGCGCCCAGGCCCTGCTCGCCCAGGTGACGCATTCGGCCCGCCGGCATGGCACCCGCTTCACAGATGGGGAAACGGGACCTCATCTCGAGAGGGAGGACCGCGCAGGCACTCTGCAATAGGTTCAGGGTTTTTTCTTCCTCCTTTGAGAAAAGTTTAAAACCCAAATTTTCATTACACGGTGCTGAATACACACACAGTCCGCTTATAAAACCTGAAGCCACAGCAGCTAAGCATAAAGGGCCCTCTGATCGCATTCCCCAAGCGGGCCCCTTCTTCCTTTATGAGTCATTTTTCAAGAATCCATACTAACACACGTACGGGGCGGGGGCGGGGCGGGGGGCGGCTGAGCTGCAGACCTGTGCAGACACCACGCCGGGGAGCGCGGCTGTGTGTGTGTGTGTGTGTGTGTGTGTGGCTTCCCCGGTGGTGCAGTCTCTATCTCATTCTCAAACCTCAGCTTCGTGATTCAGCAACACTGACGTCAATTTACAAGAATGAAAAGTGAGAGGAGGGTTTGTGTGTGCAAAGGCCTGAGCTGGGGGCCCGGGCGCGTTGGCGCTGTGCTCTCCGCTGGGAGTGCGCGAGTCGGGGCGGCCCGGGGGCAGGCAGAGAGGAGCAGCTCCCTGGGCGATGAGGACTGTGCACAGGTGCAGCTGTTCGCTGGGGACTCGAAAGAGTGGAAGCTCACAGAGCAGGGACCTACTCAAGGCCAGCGCGCACTAGGTCCACCCGACCCTAAACACAATGGAATTCCCATAAAGTGAGCGGGGGGCGGGGAGCTGGGAATCCCGGGGTTCCGCGGTGCTCCCGACCTCAGGAGCAGCTGCTGTTGCCCCGGGAGAGCAGGAGCTGGTCACGGACATAAAGTGACACGCAGCAGGTGCGAGGACACCTGGGGCGGCACAAGCGCCTGCGCACCTGCTGTGTTCCAGGCACCGTGAGATTCCAAGCCCAAAGGGTGCAGGAATTCAGGGCTCGATAGGCAGAGAACAAGAACATTCCAAACAGTGACCATGCTCGGAGGACCACGCGGCAGGACGCTTGGACGGCGGAGAGTGACCGAAGAGGGGCAACAGAGGGGGCAGAAAGGCTGAGCGGGACGGGAGCCCACAGGTAAAGCAAGAGGGAGAAGACGGGGGTGGGGCTTTCTGGGGGGCCTGGGCTGACTTGCTCTACCCTAGGCTGTGAGCACATCCCGTGAGTGCTGGGTTGGAGTGGACACAGGCCGGGAGGCCGCCTGCCTCCTGCCCTGTGTGGCTATTTGGCGAGCCGCCCCCCCCCCCCAGCTCCAATCAGGCAACCAGCAAGGGCCCATCGGGGTGGAATGCTGGGACCCTGTATGTGCTGGGCCTGGAGTGCCCAGCCGGGGGAGGCAGCCATCATCCCTGGAGGCAATGTCACCTGTGTGGGCCAGAGCTGGCCTCAAGTTTGGGTAGGAGGCACAGACCTGAAAGGGGCGGATGGGGCCTCTACAGGTGGGGGTGGGGGTGGGGGTGGGTGTGGCCAGCGCCACTGGACGCCCGCTGGGCATCGCCCTCACCTGCATCTCCCCCTGCCCGGCCCCATGGCCTCCCCCGGTGCGGGGACCCCAGGAGATAGCATGGCGGGCGCGCCCTGATTCCGGGAAGAGTTTCAACATCCCTCAGGTTCCACCAAAGCAAATTCACGTCAGCCAGAGAAGACCAAGGCGGGCGTTCAAACGGCCCCTCTCGGCCCTGGGACCCGACACATGGCCCTCGCTGGAAGCTTGAGTTCAGGCTCTACGGCGACCCAGCACAACGTCGGCCCTGCCCGACGGCCCCACGCCAACTGTGGCCTCCAACGGCGCAGAGGCTCGCAGGGGGCCTGCCCAGGTGCGTGGCCTGGGCACTCACCACACTCCTCCTGCCTTCGGACCTTTGCACGTGCTGTCCCCGTGTGGCGCTGGCGTTTGCCAGCGAGGCCCGGCTAACCGTCGCTCGCACGGGGGAACCCCGCGGCGCCCGCGCTCCACGGCCGCGCACTGATGACGTCACCGCGCTGCACGCGCCGGCGTGCAGGGGAGGGGGGTGCTGGCCAGGCCCGCGCCCGCTTGGTGGGTTCGACAGCTCTCGGCTGCCTGGGCCCCTCTGAGCCGCTGTGTCTGGCCGCCGGCCCTCAAGCTCTGGGCTCCCGGGGCTCCCGGGAAGACCCCAAGCCCCAGAGAGGCGTGTCCCAAGGGCACGAGGGTCAAGGCCAATGGGCCCTCTCCCCGCCTCCTGGAGCCCTCACCGAGCCCCCCAGTCTGGAGCCTGTCGGTCAGTTTGCGGAAGTCAGAACCAGAAATGCTTAACTTGAGATGGGCCACATCACCGAAATCGGCCCTCTCTGCCTTTTGATTTAAAAAAATTTTTTTTTAATTTTTGATGAGTTTTTAACACATTCAATGTGCTTTGTAGATAGAATTCTAAGAACACAGTGGCTTTCCCTCCCTCCCTCCCTGCCCTAAAACAACACTTCCCTGAGCCTCTCCTGGGTGCCGCCGCTCTGGCCAGGACCGGCCTTCTGATAAGGGAGGCTTGGGAAGGTGATCAGAGTGCCAAGGGCAGCGCTGGCGCCGCGGGCCACGTGGCCTCCCACCCGCCCAGAGGGGCGACGTCTGTGCTGTGCTTCCCAGCCCTGGGAGCAGCCTGCAGGCCAGTCAGCCGCCGAGCCGGCCAGGGCTGCTCCGTCACAGGGGCCCTGGGAAGGGGCTCAGGGCGGCCAGCAGCCCTGGCTGCCCGCTGGGGGCCTTGGAAGCAAACAGAGGGGCAGGGATGGGGGAGGGGTCCGTAGCAGGCAGGGCTGGGAGGGAGGCATTGGGGGCTGGCCCCATCTGGGGACCTGCAGGGGCCTGTGCTGTGAAACTCACCCTCCCTCCCACACCTGGGTGCAGCTGGCAGGGGCTGGCTTCCCCACCAACATTTCATGCCCGAGGCAGCACGCAGGGGCAGGGCTGGGGCCCTGGGCTTGTGTTCAAGTCTTGGCTCTGTCACCTACGTAACCAGAGTGGCCTCATTCATAAAATGTTAGCATACCCAGCGAGCTCTGCTTCGGAAAGGTGGTGACGATTGTTACTTGCGCATGCTCCCGGCTGCCCAGGTGTCCTTGAACAGACAGACCTGGCCGGCCCTGTTCTGGGCTTGCTGCTTGCTAATCTCAGCAGTGGCCACCAGCTGGGTCAGGCACGGTGGACACTGTCACTCGCGGGATGGAGCCCGCCGAATCCTCATGAGGACCGCGTAAAACCGCAGTGAGTGTTGTCAGCTTCAGGAAGCCAGCACAGCGCTGAAGCAGCGCCCAGGGCCATGCCGCGGGGAGGTGGCTGGAGCTGGGCCAGTGGATCCCAGCACAGGCGGCCTGGGAGCCCACCCTTCCCCAGTCTGAAGTGCCGTGCTGAGGTCGTCAGACATCGCCAGAGCTTCGCCTTGCCAATTCTCTGCCAGGTCCAGCCATGGGATAGCCGTCTGGTTATTCTGTTTTCTGTTACTTGGTTTCTTTAAGTATGATTTATTTCGAGGGAAATATTGCCAGACTGGGAAAGCCAGAATGCCCGCTCCAGTGAGGCAGTGGGTGAACAATACAGCCAAACAATGTCAGAAACGCTGCTGTCCCAGGGCCGTCTTGCTCCAGGCTGCCCTGTGTTTGGCTGAAGGAGAGGGCGAGGGAGAGGAGGTGGGGCAGAAGAGGAAGATTAGCCCAGGTAGGGAGGGGAGGGCACATCTGCGGAAGTCCCAGAAGCCCAGCATCCTGCACTTCAAAGTCCTGCTCGGACCCTGATACCCCTCCAGGTGGTCCCAGCCCTACCCCCAAGGGAAGCTCCCAGAATTCTCTCTCCTCAGGACCAAAGGGGTTGCCTGGCCGGATCACACGGGGCAACAGAACCTTCACAGACGCCCTAGGGGAAGCTCCTTTGCCCAGCGCCAGGGTTCCCAACCCTTCACCCTAAAGGAAAAAGGGGAGGTGGTAAAGAGACTCCCTCAAAACCGGGAGTCTAAACACAGACTGCGTGCTTAGCCCTCTGCTGTCCGCCTGCTCAGGTGTATTCTCTCCATTCAACCACGTAACCTTGGTCTCCCCAGTCCGTGTGACAGGGCACTCTCTGTCCATTTGTTTTGACGGATGCTCTGTCCCCGATAAAACCTTATCACTTTTCTCTCTGTTTCATGACTGAATTCTTTATTGCGTGAAGGCAAGAACCCCATGTCTTCTCTATGGTGACAGGTTTAGGCGCCCAAGCACTCGGGCTGTCTTCCACTGCCTCCCCAGGCACATTAGCAGGGAGCTGGATTGGAAGTGGAGTCGCCGGGACTCAAACCGGTGCTCTCGTATGGGATGCTGGCGTCACAGGCGGTGGGCTTAACTTGCTGTACAAGGCTGGCTAAACTGTCCCATCTAAACCCAAGACTGAGAGATGACCCACTGTCCCTTATGTGGGGGAACACAGCCTGGCATAGCTGCCAGGCCCGGCACTGATTCTGAGCCTCCCCTGTGAAACAGAGTGGCGTGGGAGGAGGAGGAGGCCCTGGCCCTCGTCCCAGCTTGAGCCACTGAACATGAAACTGTGAAACGCCCAGGTCTGGGCACCTCTGTGTCATTTATGTCACTTTTACCAAGTTCCCTCCACGCTAGCCTGGTGACAGGAAGGGCCACAGTTCCCAGAAGGTGGGTAAAAGTGAAACCACCTCTGGTCCAGCCGGGATGGGCCTGCTGGGGGAGGGGTGGGGTGGGAATGAGCTCCTGGGTCCTAGAGGCCTTCAGGGGACCTGAGACCGGAAACGGAGGCCGGCGCTGTGGGCTCCAGCCCCTCGGCAGCCTTTGGAGGGAGCAGGATGTGACTGCCCAAGTCGCGGCTTTGACCCCTGTGCACCTGGGCATCACTGCGGCCGCCTTCTCTAGCACCTTCTGGGAAGGTTCCATGATCAGCCAATTTTTTTTAAGGATTTATTTATTAATTGGAAAGGCAGAGATACAGAGAGAAAAGGGAGGGAGGGAGAGGTCTTCCATCTGCGGCTTTACTTCCCAAATGGACACAATGGCTGAGGCTGCGCTGATCCGAAGCCAGGAGCCAGGAGCTTCTTCTGGGTCTCCCACGTGGGTTCAGGGGCCCAAGCACTTGGGGGCCATCCTCCCCTGCTTTCCCAGGTACAGCAGCAGGGAGCTGGATCAGAAGTGGAGCAGCTGGGACTTGAACCAAAGTCCTTAAGGGATGATGGCATCAGGTGGCGGCTTCACCCACCACACCACAGTGCCGGCCCGAATCATGTA